ATTTTAATAGCATATTTTAGAGACATAATAGAATAAAAAATTCTAATACAAAAATATTGAAGCTACAATAAATTTTGCGTTATAAGCGATAAAAATTTGCCAATGATATAATTTTTTTAATTATAGAATTTATTTCTCTTGTATATATATATATATATATATATATATATATATATATATATATACACACCTGTGCGTGTGCATGTGCGTGTGTGCATACGTGCGTGCGTGCGTGTAGATGTGTAGATATTTTAATTCGTAATGGATGTATAGTGAAAAGGATAATACAATAAAAAAACCAATAAGTATAAAAGTAAAACTATTTTGAGATATCATCATTGAAAAATTCTAATAACAATTCACTTTCAGAAAAGTGAAACATGTATCAATATAACATATTAATATAAGATTATTATTTATAAGCTTTTAACAAAACAGTAAAAAAACAAAAATTGAAAACTGTTTAATCTCTAATGTCTTTAATCTTTAATAAGTTTAAAATTTTAGGAGACATATACAAGAATTTAATTTAAATAATTAATAAATTACAACCTGTTAGTTTAGAAATATTAAAATAATATTAAGTGATAAAATTTATCTCTTTATATAATAATATTAAGTGATAAAATTTATCTCTTTGTTTAAATGATACACTTTCCTACATGAATATAGAACATCTAATTAAGATTAATTGGTAAAATAAGATACAAGACATTTCCGTTTTCGACACATTTCTGTTGTTAGTAGTGTACTGCCGGTCGCACGATAAGTCGAGAAATGAGAGTAAAAATGAGCTAGAGCTCATCTTGCTGACACATGAGAAAAGAGCTCTTCCTTTTGTGATAAAGAACACTCTCGAAACCGTGAGAAATGGATGCGATTGTTATCTTTTGAAATACAATTGACTCAGGAAACAGTTTTGTTAATCGGTAAAAGAGTGAAATGCGTGCGAAGTGAGTGTCACTTTTGAGATAGCAAGTGAGAGTGTGGAGGATGCCGAAATAAAAGATTGTAATTGCCATCTCATTTCTTAATCATTCGTGAACGCGATTTAACTGTCGACAATGACACTTTCTGTTGTTGTATTCACCTTCAAAGAATATTTTCTCTTTATCGTTACATTTCTAATGACACATTTATGTAATTACTATTTTAATTTTCAAAATATTTGTTTTTGATGGTTTCTTTGTTATACCTAAAAATAGAATAAAATTTTATTATAATAATTAACATTACGTAAATTATATAGCTAACTGTAGTATAAAATCTATTTTAGATTTTTACATAAATTTTCTTGCATTAAGACGTCAAATAAATGTAAAATTTAAAAATCATTGCACAAATTACTACGAATCGAATATTTGTTTTCTAAGGTAAAGTAAGCTGTCTTTTTAAGTCATTTAAGAAAAATAATTAGAAGAAGTAATAATTTTAAACAGATATTCGACTAAAATTAAGAATTTGTGAAATAAAATTAATTATAGGCAAATGATATACTTGAAAAAGGTTAAATCTTGAATTTATATTTAATAAATGTTCCTTATAACAGTTAATATTAATAATAAAAATTGTTTATTAGTTGTGAATGCAATTTTTATAAATAAAATAAAAACAAAAGAATTGCGTATTCAGTTTGTATCTTTTGTTTTCTCGAGAGAGATCGTATCTTTTACAATTTCCATAAAATGATATACTACTCAAAAAGAAAAAAAAATAGGAAACACTTTTGTATCCTAAAAATTGAACTATTTTCAAACCGCTGAAACTGGTCGAAAAATCATCGTAAATAAAAAATTAGAAAAGCATTTTGAAGCTTGAAGTTTTAATTTTAACAAGCAATTGATGGTTTTTAAAAATTTTTTTATCTTCTTTATTCTGTGTTTTAAAAGTAACACATTGTTTAGTTCCTTAAAATTATGTATTTTTAACACGCCCCAACTTGATAAAAAATTTTTTTTGAGAAATTCAATTAAAATTCCATAAACTACAATATTTTGCCTATAACAGGCTTTTCCAAAAATGTTCCTACGATTTTCTTTTACTGAATAATATGATTTTGAAAATAAATCAGTACTTTTTAGATATAATGTCAATACTTAGCGAAAAATCATCATAGACAAAAAATAAAAAAAAGCATGTTGAAGTTTGGAATTTCAACTTTAACGCGCTATTGTCAATTTTTAAAATTTTTTATCTTCCTTGTTCTGTGCTTTAACAAAGAATATTGTTTTTTTGTTCCTTAAAATTACGTATTTTTGACACTCTGCAGTTCGACAAAAAAATTTTTGTCAAAAATTTCAAATCAAATTCCATAAACAACATTTTTTCTACAAAACGCTTTTTTTTATTTTCCTATAATTCTTTTGACCGAGCTACATGACTTTAAAATCAACATTCTTCTTGATTTTGAAACCGCGCGTGCTTAAAGTTGGAACTTCAAACTTTAAAAACTTTCAAACTTTTTTAATTTTTTTATTTACGATGATTTTTCGACGAGTTTCAATGGTTTGAAAATAGCCCAATTTTTAGGGTATAAAAAGTGTTCCCTATTTTTTTTGAATATTTCAATTCGACAAGGAATTATTCAATACGTTCGTTATACGGCGATAAATACATTCACTTTAATTTGCATTGTGAAGGATATAATATATAGAAAAGATAAATACGCGAATCGCTCATTTATTAACTTTATTTTTTTGCAACTAATTATAGCTGGGTAGTTATGCATAAAAAGGGCCCACACAAATGTGTTATTGGGTATGTTGTGAAGATGTTATCCCTGATTAACATTCTGAAGGTTTTAGCCGGCGATCATTCTTTATTCAAAAGTTATTAACAAATAAATGTGAGAAATATTGACATAAAGATTCTATCTTATTTGTTCACCGATTTGTTTCATTTTTAAATATGTTGTAGGGCAGTCTTTCCGAGTAATTTCATATATATATATATATATATATATATATATATATATATATATAAAAGTCGGACTCAAATAATTATGGAGATATAGGCTGAAACAGGATAAAAATAATAAATACAAAAATAAGGTAAAAAATAAAGTAAATCTTCGGAAAACCTACCTATATGAAATAATAGATAAGAATATCCAATTTCTACGTATTTTTACCTCCTAAACACGATTATGAAACTTAAAAATAGCGGTCAAACTTGCAAGTCGAAGAAAAACGCAAAAAAGATAAATTAAAGATAAATAAAAAAAAGTAAACAATTTAAATTTATATAGAATTTAATACAATTTAATACAATTAAAAAATATTACAAATGTATGTGTATACATACATACACACACACACACACACAGACACACGCGCGGGGGGTGCAAGGGGGGCAAGTTACTCCGCCGGTAGGGGAGTAAGCATTGCGAAGAGTTCAATCGCAATAGATATATGCTGTAAGTTGTAAAGCGAGGTCCATCTTGTCTACCGGAGTGGTTGCGGAAGAAGAGCCCAAGGCCCCCTTGCACCCGCCGCGCGCGCGAGCGCCCGTGTGTGTGTATGTGTATATGTACACATACATTTGTCAAATTTTTTAATTGTATTAAATTGTATTAAATTCTATATAAATTTAAATAGTATTCAAATGTATTTAAAATTATCATTTTTTATTATTATAACAGCTAAAATAGTAGGTTTACGAAAAAAATGTATATAACATTTTTTGTAAAGTTTTCCAGCGGCTTTATTTTTTGCTTAAATTTTTTTTTCTCAAATCAATATTTTCGGAGATAAAAAGCAAAATTGTAAAATTCTTTTGTTAATAACTTTTTAAAACAACGACCGTCGGTTAAAACCTTCAGAATATTAATTAGAGATATGACCTTGACAACATATGTCAATGACATATTTGTGCGAAGATGGGCCCTTTTTATGCATAATTACCATATATATATATATATATATATATATATATATATATATATGAATACACACACACACACACACACATATATGTATATACATATATATATATATATATATATATATATATATATATATATATACGAGATTTGTTTCCTTAAATATTTTCGAACAATTCGATTTTCATGATGAATGTTCGCAAGCAAGAACATTGTAAATAATATATCTATAACAAAGCTATTTATATTACATAAAAAACAGCTATTCTGAAAATGGAAAAGGTCATTATTCTCTTTGCATTACTTGTTATATAGGAGATTATTGGACCATGGAGAATCTCAAGATGGCTACGAGCGGATTCAGCGCGAAGAAATCCGATGTGCGTGAAATTATCGACTCTCTTTTATTCATTTCCCGTTCTCTTTTACTACGATGATTAATTCATCACACAATTCAATTTCAGTATTTTTCACGAGACACTCGCTGAAGTTCAATTTTTAATCATTAATTCAAAGACCAATTAAACTCTTTGTTTCTCAACAAAGTCGATGATTTTAAAAAATCGCATATTATATACTCAATGAGATCGTAAAATCTTGAAAAATAATATTCATTAATCAATTTAAAAGTTTTTAAAAAAACGTTAGAAACGTTGATTTTCTGATGCGACATTTTAATATGTAGAGAATTCCGTAATTAAAAATATAATTAAAAAATGATTGTATAATCATGTATCAGTTTTATATAACTGTTATAATTTGTGGTCGATCATGAATTGTAGAGAGTTGTGCATCTGCTCAATATCGAAGAACCCTGATTTAAATCTAGTTAGAAACATCGAATCTATTCGATTACTATCTCTCGGAAGGCAAACCACCAAGAGTATCTTAGAGACCTCTTGGCCATCTGAAATTTGCGTTAAATTTGCAGGTCTCATATATCTGCGGAACCAATAAAAGACACATATCGCAGATATATCGAAGAATCATTATTTTCTAACAAGAAGTATACAGATTAGACAGAAAAAGAATTATAAATAATATCAAAGAATTAAAATAATGTTTAAATAAAAACGTGATATTTTTTTGCTTTAATTGAGAGATTAAAAAAGTACCTTACCGATTTCCACGAAGAATTGATGTTTAGGAGCTTTCGATGATCTAGAAGATTGTTTGAGAGTTGCCTCGAAATCGCCTACGACATCACTGAGATCCAAGACTGGCGAGGGACGCGAATCTGTCCGTTGTTTCAGTAACGACGGATGATTCGATAATGTAGTAACGTCGTTTATGGTCGTGCATTCTTGCGGTATTTTCGTTAATTCGGCTTCTATACCCGCCAATGCTGGACTCACCTATCAAAAATAAGGGAAACAATCTAATGTTATAATATAGGGCTTGTTATATCCGAATTATATTGATGTTGAATCGAGTAATTTATTTCAGATCTTAACAATTTTTTGTGACGAATATGTTTATTAGAGTCAGTAAACTCTAGCAATAATCAAATGCAGAAACCAGATGTATGAGCTGTATGAAATAAATTGATATAATGTTAAAATTACAACATTTTTCACTACAGAGATATATGAAATTAAAAAATCTAAACATAATAAATATATATTTATATCTATATCTATTTTATATTTATATCTAATAAAAGTCTGATAAAACTCTAATAAAGTGGCTTTTACAATTTCTATTTTTATCAACATTATATAGTATATCGAATATTTATCATATTTAATTATTTACATTTCAAAACATATCAGTTTTATTTTAAATAAATCTTGCTATAATATTTTTTAAAGTACTGTGCATTATCTTATGTAGAAAATATACATATCTTTAGAAAAATATACATATCTTTAAAAAACACATATGATATCTCTTAAGTATTATATTATTTTTGAATGATGCAGCAACCATAAAATTGCATATCAATATAGCTAATCGATATTTATTAATATTATACAATAGAATTTTCTTGTAATCATCAATGTAATTAAAGATACGAATAATTAATTACCAATCCCAAAAGAACCTCCATTGACTGACATTGTCTACGGCGTTCTCGTTTCCTGCGTCTCTCTATGCTGAGCCTATCGTTGGCACTTCCGGCCGCGACAGCCTCGCAATAACGCACAAAATCCAGATCGATGTGATATCCATAAGGACAGCAGGGACACTTCGAACCTGTCGAACCGGAAACGTATGTCTGCGTTCCCACTACAAAAACAAATATGACAGAAGACTTATTAAAGAGTGCATTGGCATTATAAATATTTTCGGAAGTAAGATGAGAGAGTATATATATATATATATATATATATATATATATATATATATATATATATAGTTGTTTCGAAAAAAAAATATGTAATTTGCAATTAACAATTACATATTTTTTTAAAAATAACTATGTTTTCTTTACATCAATTGATTCTTCTCATTATTTTGTACAGAAAAGTATTAAGGTAAGATAATCGAAAAATGAATATTTTACAAGATATTTTACGGTTTATATAAAATTAAGAAATGATTTCAAACCTCATAACTCGGAAAGTACTTAATGAAAACTAATTTAATTATAGTGTTTTGAAAAGGTCTGAAAAAGGGCTACAAGAATATGCAATAAAAAGTAAGGAATCCTGTTTAAAAAATTCTAGTTGACCTTGCTCTGACCTTGGCGACGCCACCCAAGGTTAAATTCATAGCACCAGTAAATAGATTTTTTAAAATTCTACAACTTTTGTTTGAAACATTTTTTTCTCAAATGCTTAGTTTTCGAGATATTTCACCGTTCCGGTACTTTTTATACACCCTGTATATATATATATATATATATATATATATATATATATATATATATATATATATAGGGAAGGATTAGAGTCTCTAACAATTATCTCGCAAGATAACTATTGGATATAATTTCTGCGTTTAAAAAATATGTTTCTTTAAAATATAAAATTAATTTTAATTATAAATTTATTTAAATTAATTATTTATTAGAATTGATTTATTACACATGCTAAAGCTATATCATTAATTGTCTATTTTATCCTATTTTAATCAATATAATAATTTATTTTTTATATTCAAAATATTTATACGAGTATCGAATTAGCTACTATTCTTAATATTATTCCGAATTCTGGATTGCAAAAGTCAATTAAAGTAATAATGATAATAAAGTAGGTTATTTTAGATCAAGTAAAGCGCAGGTGATAATGCGTGACAAAAAATTTAATAATTAAAAAAAAAGTCTATAATTTTTAAAAACCAAATGTTTCCATCTGTTTTGGACCCTCCTCAGTGTGATATAATAATATTAATGTACAAACATACAAAAGAAATACAAAAATAAATAAATGAAAAATATAAAATATTGTACAGGTCGAGAGATAAAATTGTAAAACTAAACAGGGTCAAATAAAGGAAGATACCGTTAAGATTTAATAAAAGCAGAATAATTCGCAAATTATTCTGCTTTTATTAAATCTTAACGGTATCTTCCTTCGCGGTGCAATACGTTGTCTATTGTTTCTAAAAAACGATACTACATTACACTCCTCACCATCCTTCGCAACATACGACAGTCCGTTTTTAAAAACATCAATGTTAATTGCTCTCAAACCCATTGGCCACCAAACTCACGCTCAAACACACCCCGCCGAAATCCATCCAACTTGACGTTTTACCAAAGAACGCACGTTAGAGAAAAGGATCCCGTTTAGTCAATTAAATTAATTATATTGTACAATTCTTCGTCTGCATATTTTGATCGTGAGCCTAGAAAGAAATTTTCAGCGCGAAGATCTATTGTTAGAAGCAAATCAATCGGTCATTATTCGTCGAACGTATGTTTGTTCGAGGTTGATGGCCGCGATGAAATGTAAACCGAAATATGTTGTAACCATTGGCAACTATCCAGAGAGACACGGTAATAATAATCTCACAAAGTTCGTTAACCGGATAAGTACGGAGATTCCACTTACGAATTAACTTGCGTATGATATATAACAATGGCTTAATGAATTTTGTCTAGATGCATCACAATTAGTGTCGAAATTGTTCTATCTATCACAGAGTATATATATTAGGTATTCCTATTTACGAGCACAGTTACAACCGGAAAAAATAATTTATATAAGATAACAGCAGTAAAATATGGCATAAAGAATAGAAATAATTATTTTATTATAAATTTTCTTAGTATATATTTATGACATAAAATATACTTTTGATAAAAGGCTAATAATATGTACAGTAAAAAATTTGTTTTTAATAAAGATTTTTCATTTTTAAACTCTATATTTTTTATTTTATTTTGACTATATCATTTTCACAGGAAGATTATACCATGTTAATAAATCATTACATTCTTGTATTTACAATTTCTAATTCAAGATTGCACAATCACAATTTTCTATCATATAAATACTTTTATTAAAAATAGCTCACCATTTCCGTTAAAAATGCGGGTCGAGGGAACGACGGTTAGCGCCATAATTTCGACAGCTTGTCAAATATGACTGTAGATCTGCATTTCCATAATCCTGAAAATATATAAAAAATTGTAAATTGGCCATGTAAATGTCACACAGTGTAGCATGTATGTAAAAAGATTCATGCGTATATATATATATATATATATATATATATATATATATATATATACAGGATGAGTCATATAAAGTGACCGATGTGAATATTAGCTAAAGTTGAAGAGCTATGAAAAAATTTTTTAAATAAAAGATGTTTGACACAGAGGTGAACATCGTATGGTACAAACGATATTTTCATAGATGAAGGCATTAAGAAGATTTCAAGATCAACCTAATTTTATTAAGTGGAACTCTCTATTTTTTATTGCATATTCTTATAGCTTATTTCAAGAGCTTTCTGAAACACTATAATAAAATATTTTTCCCTCAAGTCCCTCAAGTTTTTGAATTATAAGCTTGAAATCATTTCTTAATTTTACATAAATCGTAAAATATCTTGTAAAATATTCATTTTTCGATTATCTTACCTTAATACTTTTATGTATAAAATAATGAGAGGAATCAATTGGTGTAAAGAAAACACATAATTGTTTCGAAAAAAAATGTAATTGTTAATTGTAAATTATATTTTTTCTTTCAAAATAATTATGTGTCTTTACACCAATTGATTCCTTTCATTATTTTGTACATAAAAATATTGAAGTAAGATAATCAAAAAATGAATATTTTACAAGATATTTTACGGTTCATGTAAAATTAAGAAATGATTTCAAGCCTTATAACTCAAAAAGTACTTGAGGGAAAAATATTTTATTATAGTGTTTCAGAAAGCTCTTGAAATAAGCTATAAGAATATGCAATAAAAAATAGGGAGTTCCATTTAATAAAATTAGGTTGATCTTGAAATCTCCTTAATGCCTTCATCTATGAAAATATTGTTTGTACCATACGATGTTCCTCTCTGTGTCAAAAACATTTTTTATTTAAAAAATTTTTTCATAGCTCTTCAACTTTAGCTAATATTCACATCGGTCACTTTATATGACTTACCCTATATATATATATATATATATATATATATATATATATATATATGTATATATATCTGCACAAAGAGGAAGAAGAAGGCAATAAATTTTTCGAGAGAAAGTCAAGACAATTGGATGCACATTCTAATTACATATAAGTATTGCGCAACCTGATTTCTCGAAATAATTGCATAATTGCATAATTTTATTCGTTCACTTTTTCAGAATCGGCCGTTTCATCCACGTTTTTTTACATTGTACAAAAATTTTTTGCAACAAAATCTTCATTGATATAATCAGTTGCAAGATATAGCCATTAGCATTTAATTTACAATGCCGCGAAATCATTTTTTCGCAACACACAGGATTTGAAATAGCGATATATAAGGAGATTAATTAATCACGAATCTTCCCATCTTTCGCGAACTTTTTCAATACTTTCTATAACTTGTAAATAATAATCTCCGCTCAATTAACTTGTTTAATTGCGCGACTATGTATTCAATAGTTTTTCTCTTTTATTTTGAATAAATTATTTAAAACTAATGCAAACGATCTTATTATGTTTACGTATGAAAAGAATTAAATCCAGTATTGCACATCTCTCTTTAATTAACATTTTTATTTACTTAACTCAAAAATTTGCGATGACAGTCAACGATATATCATCTATGTATTGAAAGAATTATTATATGTGAGAATAAACCTTCTTTTTTAGATAAAAGCGCATTTTAAATCGCGGAAAGGTATATAAACGTCTCTTAAACATAATTTTCATAGCATGTCTGCGAGCTAATTCTGTATCCCGGATTTCTGGTCTGATGACAGCAATGCGTCTTCTCGCGATTTCTTATCCGTTGTCTGGTCTCGCAAGCTTTTAATTGTCGGTGCGCAGAAGGTGAGTCAAAAAGGCTCGCGGATATTTTTATCAACATTTCCGGCGAAACGTCATCGGAGTTTTAATTTTTTTCTAAATACGCTCTCCTCCACAACTTCTCAGTTGGCATGTGTTACTCTTTGAAATTCCGCATGAAATTTATTGACACTTTAAAAAATAATTTACAGCTAATGCTTCTTTCACTTTCTCTGCAATAAGCTAAATAACGTGTATTTCGCATTCATTATTTTCATATTTGATATCTTGACATTTTTTAATTGAATAGAAGTTCTTGTTTTATACATATATTTTCCGAGTAATATAAAAAATACAAGATAATGTATATCTATTATTTATTGATAAAATAAATATTTATTGATAAAATAAATATTTATTGATAAAATAAATATTTATTGATAAAATAAATATTTATTGATAAAATAAATATTTATTGATAAAATAAATATTTATTGATAAAATAAATATTTATTGATAAAATAAACATGCTTGTACATGAATGCATTTAATAATTGAACTTTAAGATAAACAGTTATTTTAAATTACACAACATTAATAATTTTCATTTCAACATATATTATAGAACATTTCAACATATATTTTTAAGTAATACACCGTTTGAATTTTATAGTGTCCTCTTTTGGTTTTTGAAATATGCAATTTTGAAATTTCATATTTATATCATCTTTTCATTATATTCTATTTGTGTTTTTAATTATACATTTCCTCTTTAGTAGTAAGTAAACTCTTTTTCGTAGACAGGGGAAAAGCAGAGTCCCTTTTCTTATATCTCCTCCAAAAAAAAAGTAATCTAACCCAACCCGTATTGGAAGGGAGTGCTGGAGCCTTCCCTGCCTACACGTTTACTTAAAGAGCAAATATAATCAAAATGTAAACACACAAATAGAATATAACGAAAATAAATATGAAGTTTCTAAATTGCATATCTCAGGAACTAAAAAAGAGTACCAAAAAATTCAAATGATATATATATATATATATATATATATATATATATACACATATAGGATGTTCTACTTAACTTGAGCATCTTAAATATCTTGCTTGTTTATAATAATAGAAAAAACAGAGGGAAAAATTATTTTGTTTGAACAGGCTGATATTATGATCAGACAGAAATTTTTGTCAGGGTTATATTTTTCAAGATTTTAAGATGGAACTACTACATATTTTTATCATCGTGGCGGAATAGCTTATGACAATATTTTCACAACACCAGAAAATATGAAAGAACGTATTAGAATTGCTAATATTAGTCGGGAAATAAAGAGGATCAGAGAATTATTTATTTATCGACTATAAAAATATATGTAAATCGACGGACATTATTTTGAACATTCATTAAAATAATTTTTTTTACTTGCCTCTGAATCGTTTCATTATTTACACTTTACACTGATCATATTTCTGGATTTTTCGTATTTTTCAAGGTCATATAAAAATAATATAATATGAATATAATATGATATGAAGGTCATGTTATCCTAGATCATTGGATTCGTATATTCGTCTATTAATTTCAGCGATTCCGCTATGATGATAAAGATATGTAGTTCCTTGCAATATGTAGTACTTTGCAATATAAGATGAAGTTTACATGGGTTTGCAACTTTTCACGCGAAACAAAGTTCATCTCAAACCAAATTTTAGTTTTAAATCAGAAATAGATTTAGGTTAGGTTATATCTTCTAAAAGTGGAATCCCCCCCGTAGAACGAATGGAACACACTGTATTCACGCATATACATTTCAATTTAACTCTTAAAACGTGCATAATAATAAAAATTCCACATAATTCGTAAAACATTTTTGTTAATAACTTTTTAATAAATTATGAGCGACACTTAAAATCTTTTGATACTTACTCAGGAGAAATAACATATGTCAAGCTCATTAAAATCGGTGAGATCGTGCATAACAAATTTCTTTCTCATTATAATATATTTTAAACAAAAAATTTTTAATCAATTAATTTTTCTCTTTAACATTTTTTTTCTACTAAAACAAGCGAGATATTTGAGATCAAGTTAGGTGAGACACCCTGTATATATATTTTTTAGGATATGTATATATAGTATTTAGGATATGAAGGTTTTGTATTATATAAAGTAAAAATAGTTGTTTTCGAGAAAAAATGTAATTGTTAATTGCAAATTATATTTCTTTTTTCGAAACAATTATATTTCCTTTACACCAATTGATTTTTCTCATTATTTTGTACATAAAAGTATTAAGGTAAGATAATCGAGAAATGAATATTTTACAAGATATTTTACGATTTATGTAAAATTAAGAAATGATTTCAAGCCTTATAACTCGGAAAGTACTTAATGAAAACTAACTTAATTATAGTGTTTTGGAAAGCTCTCAAGATAAGCTACAAGAATATGTAAAAGCATATAGGGTATCCCATTTAAAAAGTTGGAAGTGACTTTCACGTGATTTTTAGGTGATTTTTCAAGATCAAACTAATGGCATTATCTTATGTCCCCCTTAAAACCATACAACTTTTATCTGAAACATTTTTCTCTAAATTGCTTCGTTTCCGAGATATAAATTTGTAACACTTTACATGGGCCCTGTATATATATATATATATATATATATATATATATATATATTGCTTAGAAAGTATTCTCTATAATATATATCAAAATGAAAATTATTCATGTTATGTAACTTAAGATAAACGTTTATCAATTTCAGAACACAATTTTCGATAATTTTTTTTATATCAAATAATATTATCTTAAATAAATAAAATTTTACACAATTATCAAGTATAAATATATAAAAATAAGTAAAATTCATATTTTATTATACAAATTAATTAGTATTGAATTTTCTATAGAATAGTTTTTAATATAATTTATCTTTATTTTTTTTAACAAACATATATTATTTTAACTTACTGAAATAATTATTCATTGGTAAGTGTAATTTCATGTAAATCTTTATATGAAAAGTGAGGTGCGCGTAGATCATCTACTAAATATTTTTTGAATAAACTGATTCGAAAAAAAGGAGAAAATTAGTAAGTGAACGAATGAGAAATGATTCCAGTCAAGGTTGAATCGAAAAATAAGAGCATGTTTTCCTCGCGACAAAAAATCAGCTTGGGAGTCATTTAAAAATGACTCACGTACACTGCATAGAAAGACTGGTAGACGGCAGCCATCTCATCATTAAATGGAAAGTCAGGGACTTCACACGTTTGGACTGTAGTATAATTTTAGGAAAACAACAAACACACGATGTAAGTCGATAAGTCACTTCAAATTCGTATCAAAAGAAAGAAATTAAATGTATGAAAAATGCGAACGTGATATGCACGTTGTTCAACTGTGCTAAACTGAATCGACATACTGTTTCTATTACATTGATAAGTCCGTAACTGCTTGATAACAGATTATAAGCACTCCCATATATACACATATTATAAAAATGAACGATAACACGCAACGTTTTAGTGAAGATTGATTTATTTATCGGTTGTATATAGAGCGTTTGTTTAAAGATTCTACTCTTTTGTTTTCGAAAGAATCGATTATATTTTCTAAATAAAATATAATTATATAATTATATTTTCTATATACTATATAATTATATAATTATATTTTCTAAATAAAAAATAAATAGAAGATTCAGTAATTTCTAAAAAAAATTCTCTTATTATAGAATTACATTAGCATTATTTTCATATCAATTTTATTATGTTTTATTAAATTTTCTAGAACATTATATATAAAGGAATTAATGAGGCAGTTGGAATAGTTAACGAAGAAATGGCAAAGTGCTCATGTCCTTGCAAGGCTATTGCCCTTATACAACCATTTTCCCATCCACTTGATTGTCCATTAATCAGATAATGGTATGACATCGTCATATAATATACGCATGAATGTGATAATAAAGTATGGCAGTTGGCACTTTTACATACATGTTTGATTGTATATAATCGACATAGCAACAAAAAAATATGCGCGCTAGATAAAGTAGTTTTCGATTTTATCGATAATGTTAAAAAAAGTGGATATTATATAGAATTTGTATCGTGCGCTCGATTAAAACAGAGAAAATTTCAATTATAATAATTAATTTGTATAGCCATATATATATATATATATATATATATATATAATTGAAATATTTAAATGCGTAGATTGAAATGACCTAATCTGTATATATATATATATATATATATATATATATATATATATATATATATATATACAGGTTAGGTCATTTTAATCTACGTACTTAAATATTTCAAAATCCATAAGTTTAAGACAAAAATGTTTTAGACAAAAGTTGTATGTATTTTTGTCCACATCGACAGTTCTAACAAATCTTTCTCTTCTACCGTCATTGTTTCTAACATGAAAACTTCCATGTTCTCTTAGCTTTCGATAGCTTTCAATGAATGTCCTTTCACATGAGATTCTATGATTCAACCACGTACAAACATCGAGCTTCAGTAGCGTGGAAATACAACCATGTACAAATATCGAGCTTCAGTAGCGTTGCCATTCGCAGGAGTAGTAAAAGAAATGAACATCTGCTAATCTTTCATTCTCTAAATGATTCATGTTATTTTGAATGCTTATTTAACACAGAATCTCCGAAAAATTACACACAGCGAGATCTCTAACCGAAGATCAAAATAAATAAATTACAACAAAAATGAATTACACAAAAAATATGACTATTATCATGTCAATCTAATTGTAAGATAACTTAACGCAGACACAAGCAAGATGATCTGATTTGTTATCTTTTTAGTTGGAAAGACGTAAAAATGTAAAAAATTCAATTTTTGAATTTTAAAGTTCAAAAACTTTAATCGAAGAATCAGGAGATTCTAATAATAATAATTAATTCTAATAATTTTTTTTCCAACAAAAAATTATTTGCAATTCCTTCAAAAAACCCTACCAGAATTATTGGATAACGTGCCTTTATTAACACGACAACGAGCATTTTTTTATGCAGAATGGAGCACCATTTTCGAATAATTGTGCGAGATTTTTTGAATGCGATGTATGCGAATCGCTAGATAAACTATTTGATATGACTATTTAAAAATTAGTCCTCTCCCTATATCTCTCCGTCAAAACCATATAAAAATAAAGCTTATTATTAATTATTACGTCTTGCAAAACCTTAACGTTCTATGAAAAAGTCTCCGAGAGTTACAATACATTTTTCGATTTTTTTCCTCAACTTTAGGGGGCTATAACTCGGAGGAAAAGCATTCTTGGACCCATGTTTATATGAACTTTTTTTCTTATTTTAACCCCTAGAATACGCCCTTAAAATCTCCGATATAGTTTTAGAAACACCCTGTATATATATATATCTTTTTGTTAATGTTTATGAAGGATATAACTATGTGATATTATATTCTTTATTACAATATATAAACAATAATCATTTTACATTAAAATCACATTTTACATAAAAATCATTTTACATTATAGATTCTCATCACATTGAATTCACATTGTACATAGATTATATGAGATAAACATAAACACTTATAAAACAAATTATTGAATATTGAAAACTTTTAAAAATTTCATAAAAAAAAATTAATTTTAATGTTTTTTAAAAAAATCGTATAAGTATATAAAGAAATATTAGCAATCGTAAAGAACTGTGCATCTGCTTTTTATGCCAAAGAGTTCGTATTCAAATCCAGCTAGAAATATCGAATTTATTCGATTGTACTTCAATTGGAAAACATCAAATCATCCAAAAGAATAATCGGCAAATATGCATAAAGGGTTAGACCTCATCGATTTTATTGCTACTTAAATAAGTTGTAGAGGATGGTTTTCTGAGTAATTTTATGCAAGAAATAAATGGGGGGGGGGGGAGTATTGATTTAGAAGATGCAACAAATTGAAGTTATTATTTGAACTGATATTACGGACAGTTAACTGTTTGTGTACCGTTCTAGTTTCTTTATGACAATGTCAAAAACAATTTTTACATCATTTTAAAGATAGTTACATGAGTATTTTGTTAACAGTCGAATTGATTGACACACACACACACAGGAAGGTAAGGGGGCTTTCGGCTTTTTTCTCGCATCTTTCCTGGCGATAGAGAACGTATTTCGAAGATTCAATCACAATGTATATATTCTATAAGTTGTAAAGCGGAGTCTACCTTATCTACTGGCGGGGTGATTGCGGGAAGAGGGGTTGAAGGCCCTCTCTTGCATCCTCCGCGCGCGCGCGCACGTGTGTGTGTACACATACATTTGTGATATTTTTTAATTGTATTATTTTTACTATACAATTTAATTGTTAATAATTTTTGAAGAAATAATGACTAAAATATTTTGAGGTTACTCAGGGTCAGGACAACATATGTCAAGGTCAAAGGTCATTGATCAGGTTGTCATTCATTTAAATATTTACTGAAGAATTTTATGGTTTTATAAACTATAAAGTTTTCGAAAATGTCACATTTTTCGAAATTCCTTCTCTATCCTAATTTTATTGCATTGCTATAAAGTACGTTAAAAACTATAAAACTTTTTTATATCTTTTATCATTTCTAGCTTTAGTCGCTTAGAGAGAGAAATATAAAAACTGATTTTTTTCAATTTTCCTTTAAGGTGTCATGCTTAATCGTAAAAGTCCAAAAAATTGATTTTTAGGATTTTATATTTTCTTGAAGTATATCATTAAAAATATTTCCTAAAAATTTCAAATTAATCGAATATCATTGAAAATATTTTCTAAAAATTTCAAATTAATCGGATGAAAGTTGATAGAGTTACAAGTATACGTTTCATGGAGCAATGGTTGACTTCATTTGAACGTGACTATAAAGCTTTATTATATGCTGTTCATATTTTGAAAGCTTATCAAACCAATACATGAAGATTTAAATAAACTGAAATTATATGAATCTGGAATAGATGATTTCTGTGTAAGTTAAAAAATTATATTTTATTATTTTATAAAAACTGATATTTTATTTAATTTATATTTTTATTTAATCTATATTTTATTTAATTTATATTTTATTTATTTTATGTAAATGTAAACTTGACACAAAACTTTAAACGTGTTTTTCTCGAAATTACTTTCTCAAAGTCGAGTGAGATATTTAGAAAACCGTTACACTAATTTGTTTGAAATTTTACAGATTTCTTCTACATAAAAAACTAGTAGATGAACGAAGAATTTTTTTAATGAATACATTTTTTAATTTAAAAAGTAAGCGATTTTTAAATGAAAAATAATATCTTAGTGTCAAATAGCTGTCATTTTGTCCCAAAACAATTTTTCGATAAATCAGCTTCAAATAGCACTGGTCACCATGCAGCGGTTTCTAAAAAACAATATTCAAGAGAATAGTTATAACTTTTAAATATTTTTCATATTTTTCATATTTTATTAAAAATAATAATATCCTTAATATTTGTACTTTCGAATAAACATTTATTTGTAAAAAAATTATTATACTTTTCAAAAAAATTCCCAAAACATTATATTTTTTTCGGTTTGCCGATCTTAGGCATGACCTCTTAATGGACACGTATAAAGAAGTATGTGTCTCTTATTTTGACCTAGGTTATAACATATCCAAAACTCATTAAAATCGGAGGGGAATATTTCCATACCTTTCCTTATAAGAAAGAAAGAAAAAGAGAAAGATAAATAACAGAAATTCATTCAAATAGACCTCCATGTTGCCATAAGCATCATTTTCGTCGTTTTTTTTCGACAAAATAAACATATTATGCTTCTATAATACATATAGCAAAGCAGAGTGCTATAAAAATCTTTTTGTTACCCTGCGGACTAAAAAAAATCATTCGAAGCCTCAGTGTGCTGTACCATGTTGCTGATACATGCTTGCTTTCATTCTCGTTCTGCCAAAAGTAATCGATGCGAAGTGATCATTGGCGAAGTGAAACGCAGTATGCCATTAGCGGCGTGCATGCAAATATATATACAGGGTGTTAAAAAAGTCTGGAAACGGACAAATATCTTGAAAACAAAACATTTCTGAGAAAAATGTGTCAAACCAAAGGATTTTAAAAGTTCTATTCAATGATCATATCCGTTTTGTAGGATTTTAAAAGTTCTATTCAATGATCATATCCGTTTGACCTTGAATGGAGGGGTCAAGGCGAGATCAAGGCCAACATGATTTTTTTTAAATGGAAACCCCAATTTTTTATTTCATATTCTTGTAGCTTATCTTGAGAGCTTTCCAAAATATTATAATAAAGTATCTTTTCATTGAGTACTTTTCAAATTATGAGGCTTAAAATATCTTAATTTTACATTTGAAACCATAAAATATCTAGTAAAATATTCATTTTTTTATTATCTTATCTTAATACTTTTATGTACAAAATAATGAGAGGAATCAATTAGTGTAAAGAAAACACATAATTGTTTCAAAGAAACAATATGTAATTTGCAATTAACAATTACATATATTTTCTTCGAAACAACTATGTATTTTCTTTACACAATTGATTCCTCTCATTATTTTGTACATAAAAATATTAAGATAAGATAATAAAAAAATGAATATTTTACTAGATATTTTATGATTTATGTAAAATTAAGATATTACTTTAAGCCTCATAATTCGAAAAGTACTCAATGAAAAAATACTTTATTATAGTGTTTTGGAAAGCTCTCGAGATAAGCTACAAGAATATGTAATAAAGAATTGGGATTTCCATTTAAAAAAATCATATTGACCTTGACCTCGCCTTAACCCCTCCATTCAAGGTCAAACGGATATGATCATTGAATAGAACTTTTAAAACCCTATAACTTTGATTTCAAACATTTTTCTCAGAAACGTTTCGTTTTCGAGATATTTGACCGTTTCCAAAACTTTTCTAACACCCTGTATATATACAAGTATGCAATAAAACGAAACAACTCCATTTCAAGAAAATCTTGCTTGTATTTCGCCGACAAAAGGAAAGAGTTATTTGCACAACGACAAAACATTTTCTTTTCGGATCAGATAAGATTGTGCACACGGAATGACGCGTGGCGTGTCGCATTGTCTCTTTTCGCGTGTCTCTTTAAACTTCGATCCGCGATTATGGACACAATGACTCGTAAACAATAGAGAAATCTTGCAAGATCAAGATATTCGAGAAGCTCTCACTTATCGCAATCCAAAAATCTTTTTTTTTCATTCTATATAGTATTATGATTCGATATAAATTATTATTTTAATGACGAATACGATCATTTGCATCTGTCTAATTTTCAATGTTTTTCTTCTCATCATTAGACAATCTTGAACTTTATATAGGCTATAATTGAATCCTTTAGAAAATTCAAAACAAAGCACTTTACAGACAAAATTTCACAAAATACTTATTAAATTGTATGATTTATGAATTTCACAAAATACTTATTAAATTGTATGATTTATGAATTATATCTTATCAAAATATTAATTTAATAACTAATTGATTTAATGACTAAATAAATTAAAATAAATTGTTTAGATATAATTACATTACTTTTTTACTGAAAATAATTAATATATTTTGTCGTAATATAAATGTGTTTAAAAATCGTCAATTATCTTACAATTATTAATATATTTTTTTCTAATGTGAATTTAATATTGC